GAGGGAGAAACATTCGCTGGCCTATCGGGTTTAATAACACCCAGGCACCGAGTCTATCTGAAATTACGGATGCTGCTCCGATCTTCGACTCTCGTTTCTCCTTTTCCCCCAACATCGAACATCGAACGCGATACTCGTCCTTGATCACAATTTTCCTTCCAGCAACGGAAAAGTTACAAAATTTCACAATTTTAGTTATCGAAATATTTCGGTGTTCACGACGAAGTAAAAAAAAAACAAAGATCGATGACGGGTAATTTGATTCGATGATTAGGTGTTCTATTATCGTCGATAAAATTAGACAAGCATTATTTTTGAAAAATTGGCATCCGTGGGAGCAACAACGTATCTCTTCCATATTTATAAGGCTCGTATTACTGAATTCTCGCTTCGACGATAATTGAAAACCTGCTGAATTAGCTATTAATTCTTACGGACTAATTTATGCGAACGAGCCATAACTATTCATAGAGAGCGGCGATACACTACTACAGTCCGGCAAAAAACTACAATCCGTATTCTTTGCCTATGCCACGCTTTTTTCTCTCTCTCTTTCTCTCTTTTTGCTCCATCTCCTCTCTTTCCTCCGTTACACGTGCGCGTTTCATCCGCCTGGGATTTGCATATCCGCGTTGTAACAATTATTGAAAGCAACGCAGAACAAATGAAACATGAATCGATAGAAACGAGCGAAAAAATCAAAATGAACTATCGATTCGCGGAACAAAATCCGACGTACGTTCGCGAGGAAATTGAACACCGATGGTTTGCAAATTAACTCGATTGTCGAGGGAATCATAGAAGCATAATTTACCTATTGAAAATCCTTCTTCGCCAAAGAAACACCGCTTTACTTTCCAGATAGAATAACAGCATCGAAGAAGAAATTTCTAAAAAAATTACCTATAATCTCGTGATCGAACGAAATCAGATCTAAGTAAAATTCTCCAACTCTGGACGTATGACGCTTTCTAGCTTAATTCGAGAGAAGAAACAGCGTCGATCAACCCTCGAATAGGAACGTGACAAGAAAACTGGTGCACGAGTATCCTATTTTTCCGTCGTTACGAAACAGAAGCAGAAATATTCATGACTGAAAACGCCGACAGAAATTTGCATGCAAGATCGTACATTTTCTTCGTCAGTGGAATAAATCTGCACGGTTGTTGATGTAGGTCGCCTAATAGAGCCGGCGAAGAAAACGCGAAGGAACAAGAAATCGATCAGGACGAGGCAACACGAAGAATCCCGGTGTTCGAGAGGATCCTGGCGAGCGAACACGAAGAAGAATAGACGCGACGCCGGCACATGTGGCCGTCATTAGTCATTCGAAATTCTTCTGTCTTCGCTTTTTAATTCGTGCATCGAGATCGCGAGGTTTCACGGCCTCGTCGAAGCAGCCTCGGGGTAAGAAATACGCAACGGACAACGAACACGAAGAAGAAGAAGAAGAAGAAATAGGAGAATGGCTGTAAAGGGAGGTGAAGAAGTGCACATTCGAACTGGAAGAAGGTTCGAAGTAAGGGGAATGAGAGAAAATCACGCGTGGTTCGTCATAAGAGGAATTCCTTTAGCGATACTGGGCCCTCCATCTCCTCCTCCTCCTCTTCTTCTTCTTCCCTTGTCCCGGCTCCGTTCCGTCCCTCCCGTCCCTTCTGGCCCAAAGACCCCGTGCTTTTTTACTGGTTTATGGGATTTTTTTCACGCGGACCGCCGAGTCGTACATCAGAGAAGGCTGACTGAGGTCTTTCTCTCCTTCGGCTCGTATCTTTCTTTCTCTCGCACCGTGTGTGTACACGCGTTCCATCCACTCGTTTCTCTTTCCGTCTCTCTCCCTGTCTCGTTCCTTTTACCTCCCTTTCTCTCGTCTCTCCTTTTCTCGATCGCGGTTGAAGGGTCGTGCGCGAGCGAGCGAGAAGCCAACAGGAGACGAACAATAAAAAAGAGCAAATGCCAGCCGCCATAAAAACAACTGAAAGTATTAAAAACTTTAGGCCTTTTACTGCCGAGAGCTGCCTTCTCGGGGAAGGTACAGTCGGCCGCGTACGAACGACCCGCCTCGTCGACTCTTCTTGATCCTCTTCTTGGCCAACCTCGACGTATCGTCGATCCAACGATAATTGAATAAGCGTTTAAAAACAATTTCGATCGCGCGCCACGCGTCGGTGCTTCCGTTTTCAATCGGAATACTTCTGACTATCCTCCACGCTTTCTCCGACCGAGTTAATACAAAATTTCGGAACAACGAAACGCTAATAATCACCGTGTCTCCCTACGCGTGGTCGAATCTACTGAGACATCGCGTAACTTTCCCTCCAGATCGCGAAGACTCGATTTTTAAATTATCGTTAATACCGTTTGTCCATATTTGAGCAGAGCGCATTCGTAAAGGGTGAAACGGCGTTGAGAATCGAAGCGATTCGGAACGCGTTACACCAAGAAGAATCCATTTCCACGCGAAACTTGATCTCCGGGCTGCAGGCAATTTCGAGCGCTCTCCTTTTCCCGGTTAATCGAAAAATCGCGTCTCGTCGAAACCGTGAAACGGAGGAAAAGAGAATCCTTGTCTGGGTGGCGAATACCAACGAACCGGGTACGAAAAAAAAAGGAGGACGAGAAAGGAACGTGTAGGGGGATGGAGGCTGCGCCTCGTAAAATTATCGTACTTTAATAAAACGTGTCGTGCAAAACGCGAGGATAACGAGAAAATATAGGGTTCGAAAGACTCGTGAAATTTATAGAGCGATCGCCACGACTCGCCGGAACAAACCGAGAGATGAAGAAAGAGAGAAGAAAGCCACTTTTTGGGACGACCAAGGTAGGGTTTAGTTCGGAGGCACAATAAGATAGCGAATAAATCAACGGAATACGGAGAGTATCGAGATGCTTTACGAACAAACGAGGTCGTCTCGAACCTTGAACACGATTCATCGGGAAAAGAAAGAAAATCTTCGACGAACGGCTGCGATCTGTACGAAACGAACGAGAAAGAGCACCGACAGGGACGAAGGGAAGTTCCTCGAAACGACCAACTGGCCTCGCTTTTATCGCCATTACTAATTTTAATAAACGTTTCTACACGTATTCCGGGAACGCGTGCGGATTCATTAGCTCATTTTTACGAGCATGAAAATAAAAGAGAAGTGACGTAAAATCGGTGTGTATTTGCATCGCGACATTAATAAAGACGAGGACAGGGGTTCTCAGTCGTTTCGTTCCTCGCGAATTTTCGGAGCGTTCGATGAATTTGCAACGCTGCGATAATTATTCCGTTAGAATTTTCTTGCATGAAATTCAAAGTCACAACATCCTGCGAAGAAGGTAATTGTAAAACCTCGGCAGCTAAATATTCCAAACAAAACGCAAATTGCTCGATGGAAATGTTTAATCGTCGAGTTGGATAAGCTAATTCAAACAACGCTAATCTGCGCGCAGCCAGATTACGAGGGACGAGTTGCGAGATAAATAAACAACGTCGCGAAAGGAAAAAAGGATAAAAGAAGCTGACGACGCGGTAGCAGGAATTTCTGTAATCTCCGCGAGCCACCCTCGCACCCGTTCCTCGCAGCCGTTACCCTGTCCTCGATGGGTTAGGAGTCTTAGGTACCCCTGGAGGGCACCGCAGACTACGTTGTACCGCACTGAGAGGGCCGCGGGAGCAGTAAATCTCGCGGACAAACAATCATAATTTTCGAAGAGCTAACAAAAAGCAAGAGACTCTTTAAAGGGAGCCGATGCCAGCCAACATGAAATGCGGCCGCCTCCGCGCCTCCAATTGTTTCGAGGTTTTCTTCCTTCCCCTCCGTCCCTCCGCACAGCCTCCGCGCCCTCTTTTTCTCTCTTCGTCCTTTCCTCCTTTCCACCGAATTCGCCTCCGCGTGTATCAACAAGTGTGCTCCTCCGCTTTCCCCTTCGCTTCCTTTGCTTCCATGACAATTACAATTTTTTATCCTCGCACGAATCCCCGTTCGGCGCCATTTTTTCTTTTTCTCCGCGGTCGCGTATTTTAGTACAAGATCGAAATCGTTTCGGGGGTAAAACGAACCCCTCACTGTCAGCTATCGAGGAAACGTTCGAAATGGGGAACAAGAAGCCTGCGTGTTCGCATGTTGCGCATAATCGTAAGAAATTGCGCGATGGATGAAGAAAATTACCCAACACGAACGCTAAACAGAGGCCAACGTTTCTAAACTACGCACCGTATTAAACACCGGCCGTTTCTTTCTCTGGATGCAATCGAATTATAGGTCTCGTGTCACAGAATGGTCGAAGGAAAGAAAGGAACGTGGTTCGAGTTAATTCCCGCTGTTAAATTTTATCGAACACGAAGAAGGAACGAGCATGTAACGAACGCCTCGAAGCTTATCGAGGCTGGCGATTCTGATTACAGAGTCAGGTCGAAAGAATCGTCAAGCTCGTACTCCATAAAAATTCACCCTCCACCCTGGTCTCCGATATCGCGTTTCTTTCAATGGCTGCTTTCTTAAGTCTCCCAGATAGCATCGTCGCGTACAATCAGCATGCGTTTCTCGGTTATTCTCAGTCAGTCGAAGCGTGAGCAACGCTAATTTTCCGCTCTAACCGAACGCGATATTCCTGCCTGACCAGCAATTACCATATCCTCGTCCATTCGACAGGCGCATGTACGCGTCTTCGGAACGCGAGAGTTCCCCGCGATAAAAAGCTCGATTTTTCCCTCTTACGAACAGAACAATGCGTTTCGTCGATGCTAAATCCGGCTTCCGAGCTCGAATGCTCAGAAACCGAAGCTAAAGTGGTTGCCAACTGCTTTACAGCCTTCTCCGCAATAACCCATCGCTTCCCCGACATAATTCAAATACTTTGTTACCGCACGCGCGCGGAAACGTTCAAACGCTCGTATAAATTATAAATAAACCGTCGGTTCGCGACCCGCTTTAATCGCTTTCCCGTGCCCTAGCGACGATCTTCATCTACTCGAAGCCGTTCGATCGAAACGAATAGAGGCGAATGCTATTTACCTCGACTTCTCTCAACGAGTATCCCCGTTTCTTCCTCGTCGCGTTTCTCCTCCGGCGAACATAGTCCTCGACGACGAAACAGCACGAAACCCGGCGAAACCGCTCAACGAAATCGTCGATCCTCGTGGTTCATTCGACGATCAAGCGAACCCGGTGAAAAGACATCGTTCACTCTCGCGACATTAACGGTTGTCCACCGAGGTGCGCGGATAACTTTGGCATCGTTTTTTCGATCGTATCGAAGAGTTCGCGGCCGAAGGTCGTCGCAACTTCTTCTCCTCGGAGAGCAAGCACACTGGTCACGAAAAATATCACACGGCCAAAATATTCACACCGTCCACGAAAAATCACTGGCTCCGTTTCCCGAGCGTCGCACTGTCATCCGAGCCGCACCGAGCGTTTATCACTGTTTAACGCGACACCGTGACCGATTCACCACCACCCTCGCGCGATCGTTCGGTCGAGCCATCGTTTTCTTCCGCTAGCCGAGAGATTCGCCGAGATTCTTGGAGAATTCGCGAGGCACCGCGATGCCACTGTCCTCTCCTCGATGGCCGGTTCTCCGGTTCCTCGCCAGAGGGTGGGGAGAGGGTTTGTTTTCCAAGCGGTGCTGCTGTCAGCTAAGGGTGGGGGGTGTACACGCGCGTTCACCGACAACGCGATTACGATAACGCGGAAAAATCGAACGGAAACGCGCGTAGTTTCCCCAGAAGCTCGATCATCCGCGAAAGCTCCGGCGTCGTCGGTTCGGGGGGATGATCGCGACGTATCCGAGGGTTCTCCACCCGTGAAACTCGGTACCCGGTGTGCCTACGGCTCCGTCTCGGAACTCTCCACCGTGGCGGTCGGGTGGGGGCGGTTTGAATCGACGAGAAGTGGGGGTGTTCCGTGGCTTCCGTCCGTAGGGGGCGGTCTGGTTCCGTCCGCGGTGTTAGCTGTCCATCGATCAGGCTATGCGCGGACGCTTCAAGATCCTGGCTCGAACGCGACCCGGTGCAAGTCGACGCGGAACCGTGACGAGTACGCGGCACGATTCATCCCCGCTCGACGAAGGGGTAGAACGTGGCTCGAGAGACGACGACGCGAGATCGGTAACGCGTCCTCGCTG